TAAAGTAAATTGAAATTGAAAATAATTAAAAGTACAGGATGCAAAGTTATAAATTTGGATAGGATTAAGATTCAATTGAAGAAAAAGATTTAGTCCTAAGTGCAAGTGATGAGTCAGTTTAAGCGCTCGATAATTATTAGGAACTGAAAAATATGCTAATAAAAGAAGAGGAACTGGTAGAAAAAGATCTTAGATTCATTCAAACATTGCCGAATCTCTAAAAAATTTAATCAACTAATAGCCTCAACAATTATCTTAGAGAATAGTCAATAAAAAAAGAATTCTTAGGAGATGGTTTAGAGAAGAGATCATTGACATTCAGTAAACTGCAAGATAAAAGTTTGATTAATGATTTTGTACTAGAAATAAAAAAAGCAAAATCAAATCATTAGACATTCTAGGATTTAAGGGAGAATATATAAAAAGTAAATGAGATTCCTGAACCTAATCTATTGCAGTAAATAAATTTATTTTAAGAGTAAAATCTGGAAGAGTTTGAGGTCTACAACGAATATATGACTGTTTAATAAGCGTTAATTGAATTGAACATTAGATGTCAAATGTAAAGAATGGAAACTCTAATTTTAAAGATCTAAGAAGATAAAAATATGAATGCAGATTTGAAGTAATTCATTCTCTAAAAGTATATAAATGATATTGACAAGAAGCTAAACTATTTTATCTTCAATAGTAGAAATTTAAAGCACTATTTATAATAATAAGAGAGCCAAATTAAAAATCAAATTGAAGACTTAAATAATTAGCATGATAATACTGAAGAAATTTAATAAAAGTTTGATTCAATAAGACATTTTGAGAAACACTAGGAAAAATGTAGAATCGAGCTTGTTAAATTAAAGCAATCGGTTTAAACTTTATTTAATTTCAATGAGCTTAACGTTGATAATGTTGAAGCTATTAGATAGGTTAGAAATTCAATATAGCAAGTCAAGAACTGCTAACATTAAATAAGGAATTTTTATCAAGTAAATCCAGAAGATAGTAGAATACAGTTATTTAATGAGATGAACCAGGTTCATTAGAAATTAATTTAGAGTGGAAAATTAGATGAACTGCAAATCTAGTTATTATAGGTGAAAAATGACAGACTTAAAATATAAAATTAATTTGTTGATATTGAGAAGCTATATACAAATTAATTGAATAAAGTAGAGATATTAAGAGATTAAAATATGATTATGAGATAGGAGATTAGAAGAATAAGAAATCTAGAGGAAGGTGAGGAAGATAAAATCAAGGAAAATACTTGATTAATAAATTTGTTGATGTAGTGATGAAATTAAATTATCTTTCTTAAAATATTTAGCTTTTAATTTTATCATACTATTCCTTGACAGCAATATTGCATTTTATCATATACAATAGTTCTCCAATTTCCATATGATTATTTGATTAGTAAGTCCACGAATTGAGCGGCTTCAGTTTCATTCATCCTCCTTCCAGTCGGGAAAAATCTCTCTTTTAGTGATCTAATAGTATTTTCTCCATCTTAAAAGCAAGGTAAGTCCTTCTATCCCATTACCATCATTTCTACCAGAATTATTACTTTATCTGCATGCTCTTACAAAGCCATAAAACCCCTAAAACTTTTAATTCAAAAAAGTACTTACATTTTCATCAGATTTCTAAATGCTATGAATTTTTTAGTTTTTGTGCCTCTCATTACTTCAACAAATTCTTAAGTAAGTTTAAAAGGAGCTTTTTCAAACTTCAATCCTTTACCAGGCTAATTTGATAGAAGAAATCCATAATCTATATGGATAATGTGCCCCTATGAATCAATCATAATGTTTTAGTTGTGTCTGTCTTTTATTTAAAGAATGTAGCAAGCGAGAGAATAACCTGCTAAAGACTATATAAATGCTTTTTAAGCTCTTCTAAAAGCTCGACTCTTTTTTCTGCCTTAGCCAAAATTTTTTAAGTAGAAATCATAAAGTGAACTACCCTCAGTTTTCTTATGAATCTCATCTAAACTCAATGCATCAGTTATTACCTCAATTAGACCACATCTAGGACCAGTGGCTAAAATTTCATAAGCTTTTAGGAAAATAGGTAGTTTTCTAATTCTGAAAATTTAATGAATCTCACTAATTAACTGCATTGCGAATTGTTCTTATCTCACATCGTCATTTGACTTCACTATCATCCTGAAAAGTTTCCAAGTTTTTAAATGACCAAAGGGAGAATTTTTCCTGATTCTTTCTTCTTATTCCTGAGAAGTTTCTTCAATCAAAATATTTTTGCAATCAGCTTTTGTTTATCTCCTACTCATAGATCTTATTACATCTTCAACAGCATTTCCAAGCTCTAAATCTTCATATTTCTTTAGTTAAGCAATTTATTTTTCTTCTTCCTCTTCAGTCCTTGCGACTATCATATCTTCATCACTGCTGGTATCTGAACCACTAGAATCTATTTTGTCTCTACCTTCAGATTAACTTGAATCCTCATCACTATCAGGCAAATTTATCACTTTATCTGATGGATCTATCTCATATTAAGCATTGTTATTAAAGTTTGGACCTTAATTTTTGTATATCCTTTAATGCTTTTCAATAGAAGTTTACTTAATCAAATTAGTTGTAAAGAAGTGATCTTCAGACTCCAACACAGTAGCAAGTTAAGGTGGTTCATAGCTTTTTTTAACAATACCAAGGTTTTATGGTTAATTACCAATACTTCTATTACTATTGATATTACTATTACCTTAAATTGTATTTAAATGCTTTAGCCTATAATTTCTATAAAAATTCTCGAAATTTATTTGTTTTTAAATTAGCTTTTCCTACTATTAACCTTATCCCTAAATTTAAACTTTACTAGTCTATATAGATGGATTAAGAAGATTTTATTATTAAGTCATTTCTATTCCTTCATCTTCTTCAAATGACATATCAGCGCTTTCCTCCATAATATGATTTCTTATTTGAGCTAATGGATTTATCGTTTATTGTTTACGTAAATTCTCAACAGTGTTAATTTTTAAAGCATTTTGATCAGTTTTTTCATTGGGTGATCTTCTAAACGATCTACGCTAGTGTCTATTAATGACTAGGGCATTTGAAACTCTCATATCTGCTAATTTAACTAATTCTTATGCCTCTTCATCTTTTTCTCTTGATTCAGAATGCTTATTATTTGGGTTCTTTTTGTTAGCTGAGGATTTCCATCTTTAATCTTACTTATTTTGTGATGAACCACTCTAGTTCTTTGGGTTTTAGCCATCGATCGCAGATATTTATCTTTTATGCTTCTTTTTATCTTTATTGTATGGATTTTCAAGATCTTTATTTTCATCAAACGATTACGATTTATTAGATCTTTAAGAGTTAGAACTGAGAGAGCTGAAAGCATTGTTCTAACCATTTTTATTTGAATAAACACTAAGTTCCTCTGGTCTATATAGCTCTATACAAATCAAAATGGGAGACCTTTCCTTTGTTTAGAAGACTCTGCATTCATTTATAGGAATATGGAGCACAGCAAAATTTCTTATAGACTCTAATATACACTAGTTATATTATAATTTCTTACCATTTACGAAGGGAATGTAAACACTAGCTGGAAGTTAGGAATTTATTTTCCGAATTTCCTCTTTTAATATACTGACTTTTTCATCTTTTGGTATCTTTAAAGCACTCAAATTATGAGATACATCAGTCAAGCATTTAATAAACTTTGGTGTAGAAAGATAAGCTTACAATTCTAAGATAATTAATGATAAATCTAAGCGTACTAAATTTTTAGTCAGGCTCCATATTTGAAGTGTTATCAATCTTTGACTCTTCTACTATGTTATCTAGCGAAAGAGTAAATGGCTATAAAATTATGTCTTTAGCGCAAATTGAAATCTCATTGCCATGATCATCTACACTTAGAAAGGTTCCTGTTTTCTTTAAGATCATCATATTGTTGTCAAAATTTAACTCTTCTTCATCTTTACCATCATTCACATATCTCTTAATGATTTTTTAAGTTTGAATGATCTTATCTATCTATTGATCCTTTTCAATCTCATTTTGTAGTTAGTTTGTATTATTTGAATTATTGTGATGATAACGTATTAGACTTTTATCCATTTTAAAATTTGGGTAGAAATCAAGTAAATTTAGATCTCCAATAAGAGTGATAAGATCCTGAGAGTTTGCCAAATAAAGCTTTTCATTTATTTCCAAGCACACATTCTTAAGTCCTTTTAGAACTGATTTTGATCTATGCAACACATTAATATTCAATATTAAATTACTTTTTATATATTTCTTTATCACTGTCCTAAAACATGGTACTCTAGAAGAAAAACCATACTCTATGACTAAAATAAAAGCTAGCTGAGCTTGCTAGTACGATCAAATCTTTTAGTTCTTATGGATCCTCATAATTTCCTTTTAGAAAAAAAGAGCAGAGCTGAGGAATAAAGAATTCCAAGTCATTTCTAAATGCACTAGTAAAATCAGGATTCACCCTGCATTATTTAAGGTCCTCAATAGCTTCTTTTTGATGAGCGAATAGTCGCATAAGGTTTTTAGCGACTGACATATTTTATTCACTTTTACTTTTGTGTGTTTGCTAAAATTATCCATCAAATAATCAATAACTTACTAAATTCAGCCATTTTCCAAATCTCTTTACAAAGTTTTACTTGGTTACCAGCTTGTTTGGCTCACATAGACAACAGCAGAATATATAATAAAAACAACAGCATAATCGCCACATACAAGCTAAATAATGTTAAAACTCTTCCTCTTAAAAACTTACACAAGGCATTTGCTTCTTCATCTGGAACTACTTTGGATAATAAATTTTCTCTCGCCGCTTTGTATTAATCATCCTCAGTTAACTTGAACTGACTTGGATCTACAGATTATCTTCTTTACTACTTACTCTTTTTCATATTGAATTAATATTTTAATTATTTCTATGTAGAATTATATAAAGTCTAATACTTTCTTTTTATCCAATTATCATTATGAACAAATCATTCGTCACTAATACTGCTATTTTACATGCATGGGGTTTTGGGGTTTTGGGG